ACCGAAGACCCCCCCATCCCAAACCGAAGGAGCTGTGTGTGACCAGCGGTTGCGCCAAGGGCTTTGCCTCTGCTGTGGTGAGGCAGGTCAGTACACTGCTTTCTGTCCGGCAATGGTCACGCCACCAGCTCCCATGACTCCTGAATGGGATCTGAGACACCTGCGAAGAAAAGTCTATGCCCGAAGCTGCCACAGGCCCTGCAACTTGGCACCCAATCCGGGGCCACATCCTCCAGCGGAGATGAGAACCCTCAGCTGCCAGGAAAAGGCCAGGACCTGCTGTAAAAGGCACAAAGCAGCAGATCCAAGAGCAGTCTGCACCTCCATCAGTGAGCAGCCATCCCCCTTATTTTTTCATGACTGTGTCTATGCTCAACCCAGAGATGGGGACCCAAGTGTGCGTGAGGGCACTTATAGATTCGGGGTGTGCTAGAGACTTGATTAGTCCTTCTATAGTGACGGGGTTGGGGGTTGCAGTGCAATGATTACCCAGTGCAATGATTACATATCTTTTGGAAGGAACTCATCCAGGTGCTGGACATTGAACAGGGTCTCAGTAGTGCCTACCACCCAGAAACTGACGGCCAAACCAAGTGGGTCAATCAAGTGGTTGAACAATTCCTCAGAAGCTTTTCTATTGACAAGATGATTGGGCTGAGCTGTTGACATATGTGGAATACAGTTATAACAGTTCCATCTATTCATCCACTGGGTTGTCCCCCTTCAAAGCAGTGTATGGGTATGAAGGAGCCCCTCTCCCCATGGCAGGGACTCTGGACCCCCCTCCAGGGGACCTTCATACCTGGTGGCAGGGACTGAAGGGACATTGGCCCATCATCTGAAAGACTTTGGAAAAAGCTAAAGCAGATTATAAGGCTCAGGCTGATAAAGGGAGATCCCCTGGGTGGGACATTCAGCATGGTGACTCTGTGTATCTCTCCACCAAGAACCTGAAGGGGCTCCAACCCAGCAGAAAACTGTGTTGGAAATATGTAGGGCCCTTTACAGTGGTCAATGACGTGACTGTTGAACTGGAATTGCTTAAGGCACTTAAAGGGATACATCCTATTTTTCATTACAGCTTGTTGAAGTGGGAGCCGGGACTGAATGCTTGCAGACCTCATCCTCCAGCTCCACTGATGGTGAATGGTGAACCGCACCACGAAATTGCCCAGATTTTGGACTCCAAAGTTAAATGAGGGCATATTTTTAATTTGGTGAAATGGAAGGACTTCGACCCCTCGCAGAATGAGTGGGTCAGTGAGAGCCATGCCAATGCTCCTAAATTGCTGTGTGTTTTTCAGAAAATGTATCCAAACAAACCTGGTGGGGGGAGGCCTTTGGAGGGGCAGAATGTCAGCTACGCTGCCATTGTATGTGGGGAGGGGTAGGAGGCTGCTGGGTGAATGTCTTAATGTGCTGGAATGTTAACTTTCACTCCTTCTCTCTGAAGTCTTATCTGTTAGCTGGGTGCCTGACCTTGGTGCTTCGTGCACTTTGCTCTGCCTGGGAATGTAAACCCATTAGTTTAGGTGCAACCCGTTCGCACCTCTGATTGGCTCAGCTCCATCAGGGGACCCCACTTTGAACGCAGTATATCTTCTCCCTTTCCCACCTTTAGGGTTAGCTCTAACGTGGAATGTATGCAAAGATGACCTGCCTTTACTGTACTCAATAAACTTGATCCTCTCTGAAGGAACGTCGTTGAGACTGATTGCTGTGGGACTCTGACAACTGGTCTGTTTTGGAGTGCCTTCCATAGAGTTGAAGGCACGCCAAAACAATAGGTCCTTATAGTCTTCCTACAAGGCCTGCAAAGAAGGCAACAAGTGTACCTCCTGCAGAAGGGTCTCTACAGTAGAGGGGGAGAAGGCTGTTCCCTGGGTCCCATCTTACCTAACCTTTGAAAAAGCAGGTTCCTGCAGCAAGATCCTTCCAGGTTTTCCCAGAACTCTCCAGATCATCTCTGAACACACACTGCATACAGTGTAACACGTATGTATATATGGACATTTCCCTCAGCTTTCTCACCTGGCAGGGGGTGAGTTAGGCTGGGGGCTGTATGGGGCTGGGGGCTCTTCATATTGGAAAAACAGAAAGGAGATCTGGGTGGCAGTCAGGTTGACTTAATTATTTCATCAAACAAAAGCTTCATAATAATTGTGCCTGCTAAACATGTGACGAATCTGTTTGAATTTGGGCTATGAAAACAAACTCTTATGAGAAAGTTCAGACTATAAATGTATTATAAATGCATAGCAATTCTGTGCTTCATGGAGTAACATAGGCAAGAGGACAGGCTCCTGCCCCAAGGAGCAAGATGGAAGTAAAAGAAAATAAACACTGTGGGAGTTGGCCATAAAATGGTACATTAGCCATTGGTGACTCAATCATCTGGCTAATCTATTTGTACTAAAGGTGGAAGTTTACATTTTGTTTATTTTTCTTTTGAATGAGGTTACTAATTTGACAGAGGTTTAGGCCTTTCCATGAGGTTACAATGGTGCTACTGAAAGCTAATGAGAGCCTGTCGTTGCTATGACATGTCAAGCATTCCACACCAAGAGTCTGCAAGGCAGGCAGTTTTATTCCACTTGGACAAATCAGGAGCCTCTATAGTGGCTATAAAATGGTGGGATTTGAGCTGAATTGATTCACACTAATTAGGACATGTCCTTCAAAGTGCAACTAGCTCTACAACCATGTTACAGTTTCTATAAAGCACATTTCATTCGTTTCTTTGGGAATGTCATTAGGAATTTGCTGTGGGCCCCAAGGAGTCCAAAAGCTTAAACAAATTAAAGTAGATCAAGACAACACTGAAGAATTTTTGCATCAACATATAATGTTCTTGGCCATTTACTTGCAAACAACTCATTATGCCAGCAGTTTTCAAATTGACAGCAACCTGGAAAGAGTTTTTATTAGCTACTAGGAAAAGAGATATGCTTGCATGCACGTACAACACAAACTGCAATACAGTGGAAATACTGGTGCCAGTTTTCTTTTCTTCCAGTCAGAAGCAGAGATAGCAATCAAACTCAGGGTGCTTATATGGAATTATACAAATAGATGGGATGCTAGGATGTCAGGACTATGTTTCCTAGGGCTCCTGAGACTCTGTTGAAGAAGCAGTGTTTAAATTTCAGAAGCAGCCAGAAAAACATTCCTGTTGCCATTGCATCCACAGTAGGCTTGAACCTGGCTGGCTGGCTCAGAGTGGGATCTGAAAAGGCCATTTGCCTCAGAAGAAGTGCTACTGAATTCGTTAAATTCAGAACTGGGCTTCTTTTTTTAAAAAAACAACAACACACCATTATTTTGTGGTTTGTGGGGTGCAAAGTGACTGATGATCAAGACCAAAAGTTTGAAAAATTCAGAAATCTGGACAACAATAACTGCAATAATGGGCTATTTGTTTTCAGATTAAAGTGAAGATGATGCTTTCCTAGAATATGAACCAGAAACAAAAGGCAAGCTAATATTACACATTTATTAGATTAAAATATATAATTATATCTCAACAGGATGTTTCAAAGAATAATATAATCTTCAATTACATACACTCAAAATGGTACACCTTTATTCAAAAATATATTACTTAATGTACCAAAAATACATTTCAAACTTTATTTAAAATATATTCAGTTCCAAACATCACAGTTTCCCAGCTATCAAAATTACAAACAAATCCATCTTTCCCTTCTAAATGTGTCCCAAATTCATTTTAACTTTAATTATTCCAAATATTCTCAAAACATTAATTCATAGGAGATATATATATATAAACAGTACATGAATTGCAGTTTCCCCGTGGTTTTATGAAAATTAGTTTTAAGTTTTTTAAAAACCCACAATATTAATTTTTTTTTCTTTTCTGAAAAAAACCCCTAGCAGAAGTTAGAGGCTTCAACAGATTGAACAAAAATGTGACAATTGAAAAGTAAATGATTTTCGCCTCTGAAACTACTTACAGCTGACCATGTTATTCTGCTGCAGATTACATCTTCCCACATGGCCATACGCACACACACCCACAGACAATTGTTATTAAATAATGCTTGAATAAGAGATTACATGATTCAAGGACTAAGTAAATGGACATTCTTCTTAAATAAGACTCTGTCTGAATTGCTTGACGATATCTCAGATTGCTCTGCTTAGTCTCCATTTCATTACTCTAATTTAAGAAAGGACTTGGAGCCTGGCTCATAAATTTATTTTGGTCCATCAAGACAAACAGATAAGTTGCAGTAGCATTACAGATAACAGACCAACAGCATTCACTTGAGGTAAGAAGATTGTACTATACAATCCCCCGTCCCCGCCAAACCGTTAAGTTGCAAAATTATGGGCACAGCAACAGACTGCTTCCATGGAACTCCCAAACGATTTCAGCCTCCAGCAGAACCGGCAATCCACAAGCAAAATAACCTGGCTCCTACAGTTACACCAGTTCTGCTAAAGAAAACAGCTCTACCAATTATGTGCAATCTTTCAGCCTCTAGGTTTGAAACTATCATTTATTTATTTAAACACAGTTCAACATTTTACTTTATCTAATGGAACTTCTAAAAGGAGAATTGTGTTTAGCTAAGCATTTTTTTTAGCCCTTTCTGTGCCTTTTCTAAATAAATAGTTCGCCAGAGTTTTCATTGGCACAATGTAGCCAAATGTATTCAATTTCCTTTAACAATATAAAACAGTTACTGGAGTTCTAGGTTTCTAGGTTTAAAAAAAGAGAAAGAGAGAAAACTATACAAAGCCTTTATTTTTTTAAAAATGAAATAAGTCTGCATGATTAACTGAAGTTCTGCCTTCGATGTTCTATTACACACTAAGAGAAACCAACATAATAGACTGTTTGAAATGCCATCCATATAAAAAGAAACTATATACCTTTAAATAAATAAAAGCTACTATGTACATAACACTGTACCTCAAATGAGAAGTGACACAAACTGGAATATGTTTTCCTAAGGAAAGGTGATATTTTACTGTGGCTCAGAAAATCTCTGGCCTTTGATATCTTTTGTTTTACAAACTGATTCTAGTGGCAACCACACGATCGCACCACCATGTTTCTGTACTTTTTCAAAATGACATTTGAACTGTCGTCGAAGTAGAGTACAGAGATGGCATTCAGTTTTGTAGGGGCACAACAAGGCTTAGGAACATGATCAGGAAACATTAAATGGACCTGGAAGACAAAGGGGAAAAAGGAACATCAATAAATTGAGCCAGGGAAGGCATACTTGCCTGGGACTGGGAGAGATCTGCGTTCAAATACCCATTCTGCTATGAAGCTCACTGGGTGACCTTGGTCCAGTTGCTGTTTCTCACTAGCCTGTCTCACAGGTTGGTTGTAATGATGAAATGGAGAAGAAAACTATTGTATGTTCCCCTGAGCTCCTTGGAGGAAGGGTGAGATTAAAGATGTGATAGATAAATTAAGGCCTTGGTTGCAATGGCAATGATAGCGGCCTCCTATATTTTTCCTATTTACATTTACAGAAGAAGGGCTGCAGCTGAAGGAAAAACTAGTAAAAAGCAACCTTCTGTTCCATCAGCAGAAATCCTCCAGGGGATCCAAACCACTATAAACAGAATCTTTTGAATTTTTTATTGTAATAATAGTCAAATATCACATTTCTTTTATTCTGTTGTTTATCCAAGTAGTTCAGGTTGATATACATGATTCTCCACTCCCCCGTTTTATCCACACATCAACCCTCTGAGATAGATTAGCTTGAGCAAGAATCACTGGCCCGAGATCGCCCAAGAAGTGTTAATGGTTGAACAGGGATTTGAACCCTACAGTGAATCCAAACAGGATCTAGCACCATAATTTAGCACCCACTACCTATTTATATAATTCCACATAAGCACCCAGTTTGCCTTTGTTTCTGCTTGTATGCCACCATCATATGGTTGCCAGCTCTAAATTGGGAAATTCCTTGAGATTTGGGGGCGAAGCCTGGGGTGGTGGGGTTTGGGGAAGGAGTAATGTCATAGCAGGGTGCAATGCCATGGAGTCCACCATCCAAAGCAGCCATTTTCTTCAAGGGAACTATGGATGCCAGCCTCTAGGTGGGGCCTGGGGGTCTCCCAGAATTACAGTCCATCTCCAGACTACAGAGATCAGTTCCCCTGGAGAAAATGGATGCTTTGGAGGGTGGACTCTGTGGCACTGCACCCCACTGATGTCCCTGTTGACCCCAGTCTCCACCCCCAAATCTCTAGGAATTTCCCAATTTAGGGCTGGCAACCCTACCCCCTTCTGGTGGCCAGAGAGTATCTGGCAACTCTAAAGGGGACTAATCTCTATTGTCTGGAGATCAGTTCTAATTCCAGGAGATCTCCAGGCCCCACCTGATGGTTGGCAACCCTACACTACCATGTTCCCTTAAGCTATAAAAATGTGGCACACTATCACTTACAAGTTTTTCTCTGTAAAACACAGAGAAAGAAAGAAAATGGAATTTCCTAGCCATCCTTTCTTACGTCTTGATTTCTCTACTGTCTGGTGCTCACTTTCTTCCACCTTACAGCTTCTTAGACAGAAAATATCCTTGTGCAGGAGGCCAGACCAAAAAAAAAAATGATGTCTCTTATAAGCAAGCACACAGTATTCACACAAACATTTGGTCCTGGCTTCACTAAGAGAGGAATAAAACCACAATACATATGTGCTGCTTTCTCCATGAAAGAAGCAGGAGTGAAGTGGTCTTGGATAACCATAAGGAAGGCAACACTGAACAGCTTCCTGAAATGAATGGGAGAGGTAGTGGAAACATTTGAAAATGGGGGGAAATACAAGGTCTTGGTACTTGAAAGCAGGTTAAAAATAATATTCCACACATGTTGAGTGAGTTGAAAAGTGAGGAGGCCATAGAGGAGGGAGTTGTAATAGAAAGGACAAAAGATTATTAAAGCTTGTATTTAAAAAAAACCCAACAACTTCAGCAGTAATAAGTTTTATTTGTTTGGTAAGACTGTTAAAATCTGTTATAGCCATCTGCCCAGCAGCAATATAAGACTGCAGTCTTTGCCAGAGAACACAGAAGAACAGGCAATCGGGAAACAGCTTTTATATAACTGCAACCATGAAGAGATCATTGATTGTGAAGCAAACTTTTTGAAATGAACAATCGTAAATCCTAAAAATGCCATTTAGTAAAAATTCAGATTAACTGACCTCACAGAGCTCCAATGAAAGGGAAATTGGGGAAGCTCCTTGGAGAAAGGATGGGATGAAATATCAGTAAATAACTGTACACCTTACAGCACATTCCACTGTCCGTGCTTGCTCAGAAATAAGGCCCCTTATATGCACTCTGGCTTCCCCCTGGAAAGTGTTCCTACACTTTCAGCTATATCTGAGAAGTACTGTTACACTGTAAACTGACCATAAGGAAGTGTGGCAAAGGCTTCTGTTTCCTAAGTCTAATTTTTTCCACTAATGGCTACTTAAAGCAATTCTACTGGGATCCACACTTCCAGAATTCTCAGTTTTTACAAAATAAAATCTAATTATTTTAAGCATTTCCTAAACACTACAACACTACAATTTCAGACCTGATCATGAAGGAGATAATTGTATTTTACAGGTGCCTGATGTAAAAAAATAAGCAGAGAATCAGAAAGGTGAGTGGGAAAGAAATGTAACAAAATGTTGAAGAGCTATGTATGAATCCATTAAAGATGATCACTGAAAATATTTATTTCACTGATCACATTTTTATCCTGCCATTATTCCAAGGAGCTCTAGGCTAGGGTACTTGGTTCTCCCTGCATCCATTTTGTTCCTCACAACAAACCTGTGAGATCGGTTAGGCAAGCACAGACTCCTCAGGTCCAGTCCTACCATAATGACTTTCTATTCAGGTTTACCATTTAGTCATATGATTGATTTAACACTCCCCCAGTTTACTATTACCACTCTTACCAGCTCCACAGCACACTGACACTCATTTTAAGGAGCTTTGGAATGGCCAACAGGCTCAGTAGACTCTTGAGACATTTTGTGTCCCTGATTCACTCCTCATGCTGCCACTCCTGGTTCTTTGTAGAAACGAAAGGAAATAATCCTCTGTATCTCTTTACTGTCTGAATTTCTTACAAGTTAACTTCCTCTTGCAAGAATTCAGCTACCATTCTGGTTGCCCTAACAACAGCCAGTCATAAATGGTAGCTAAACTCTCATGAGAAGAAGGAATCCCATGAGAATTTGGGAACTGGTATGTGTGGCTTGCTGCACTGCTTTTAAAGAGGCCTGATAGAGCAAGAAGGTAAAAAGGATAATATCCAGCTACTGTGTTTAGTGGTTCTGATCAAGAAAATATGGGCTGAGCCATGAGCTACACTGAAGCACCACTGACACAGCCACTTTTAGCTCATGGCAAACTCTGGACATACCCAGCATTGTCAACATACCACGGTGTAACTGGCTATAGGATTCCATATCTGACAGGAAGAAGAAATTAAAAAAAAAACACAACAGAATGAAGACCTTAGCATGTAAACATGGTACAAAGTGTATAAAGCAGGGATGAACAAATGCCAGCATGGTACAGTGTTTAGAGTGCTGGACTAGGATGTGGGAGAACCCAGGTTCAAATCCCCACTTTTCCATGGGATCTCATGGGGTGACCTTGGGCCAATCATTCTCTCTCAGCCTATTGGGAAAATAAAAACAAAAGAGGGAAGAATGTTGGTATAAACTGCTTTGGGTCTCCATTACAGACAAAAGCAGGGTTTAAATAGCTAAATAAATAATAAATATGAGTATCAGAGAAAGTTGATTAGGCTGAAAATATTTGTTTGCATAAAGATTAGGGAAATTAACAAAAATCCCTGAAGTTTTTTGCCACAAGAGCCTCTATTTTATTTATTTTATGGCAAATGTTCTCCATAAAATGAAGGATCTATAGATTCATAACATATGCCACTGGAAACACCTGTTTGCTAAAATCCCCAAGGCCACCTCTCATGCAGCACTCAGGCATTTGAAAACAGTCTTGTTGTAATGAGCCAGCCCAGTTTAGAGGTTCCCCAAGGCTGGGCTTTTTCTGACCATCATCAAGGAAAAGACTTGGCTACTTCCAAACACCGGCGTAATCTATGGGGGGGCTGGGGGCTGAAGACCCCCGAAATTCCCCAGAAGCCCCGCCCACCAGAGCATTGCCCATCTGCCTGCCAGCCAGAGGGGCTCTCTCTCTGCCGCGCCTCGCCTGCCCGGCACGTGGCTGCAGCGGCTGCCTCCAGTGGCCAGGGAGGAGGACGCTGAGCTATCCCCAGGAAGCGAGAGGAATCCCTCCCTGCTCGGCAAAACCCGTGCGTGCGGCGGAGGGACAAAGCCCGCCCGATGAGGGTGAGGTCAGAGCCCGCCAAGAACCGTGCGCGCCAATCAGAGCCGGCCCCTGGGTGATGTGGCTCTAGCGAGCTGGGAGGGGATTCCCGGGGCTCCCTACCTGACTGGTCCAGCCTCCTGCAGATCCTCCGGCGCCCCGCTGCAACCCCCCCTTCCACGCTGCAAACTCATTTCCGCAAGATGGGGGGGAGGAAGCCTTTGGGGATTCTGTGCAATGGCATGGGGGGGGGAAACGGGACGTTCCTTTGCCTCCCTCTGGCTCCCCCAGCTCTGGTAAGAGGCTCTTTTCCACAGCAGCTCCAAAGGGGGGAGGGGGGACGGACAGACAGCTAAGCTGCCTTCCCTGCCTTTAAAAACATAGGGTATATTCTGGGGGCTGGAGGAGAGGGGGCTTGAGGTAGAGGCTCCAAACTCGCAGGGTAGCTGCTGGAGCCTCTCCCTAAGATACCAACCAAGTTTGAAGAACATTGGACCATGGGGTCCAATTCTACGGGCCCCCAAACAGGTTGCCCCTATTCCCTCCATTGTTCCCTATGGTGGAAAAAAAGTAACTTATTTTCCCACCATAGAGAACAATGGAGGGGATAGGGGCAACCTGTTCTGTTTGGGGGCCTGTAGAATTGGACCCCCTGGTTCAATGTTCCTGAAACATGGAAGGTCTCTTGGAGAGAGGTTCCAGCAGCTACCCTGCGATTTTGGAGCCTTGCAACCAAACCCACATTTATTTATTTATTTATTTAGAACATTTTTATGCCACCTTTCTACCCAATCAGGGTCCACAAGGCAGCAAGCATTAAAAAAAATTAAACCGGGGGTGTCAAACATAC